GCTCCCGCTCGAGTTTCCAAAAATCCGAAACTTGGGTTGAAGTTTTTGGATTTTTGGAATTTTGGAAACTCGAGGAATTTGCTCGATTTTTGGATTTTGAGGCTCCCGCTCGAGTTTCCAAAAATCCGAAACTTGGGTTGGAGTTTTTGGATTTTTGGATTTTTGGAAACTCGAGGAATTTTGGAGTGTTGGTCTTCCGCCCCCTTCCTGGACAGACTGGAAATGCAATTCCAGGGTCTGTCGTAGGGGGGGGGTGACCATATCATACATGTATGCAGGACATGAGAAGCACGTCACACACATTTGTATGAAGATGTGTATACATATACATACATATATATATATATAGATACAAAATTATACAAATACTTATTAACTTATAGGATTTATAGGGAGTGGCAAAGGTGGATGGAACCGAGGCATCGACAGAGCTGCCGCAAGCATGCGGCTGCCATCCGGCGCGGTGGCCTAGGTTCGTGGGCTTCATGATCATTGAAGTATTGCCTATAACCCTAAAATCCTAAACAGACTGAAATTATAGTAAATTCATTTCTACATACATGAACATGTATACATTATATATATATATGCATATGTATATATACATATAGTATGTATGTATATGTACATATTCTTCATTGGGCGTGGGAATCTCATGCATCTACACTTCGGCCAAACCCGGGCCTCTGTTCCATCCTTCTCCTTCCATGTGCAGAAGGCTGGTCCTCCCCAACTTGTGGACTGGGTTTGAATGGGTTTAGGGTTTCGTAGGGTTTCGTAGGGTTTCGTGGGGCTTGTAGGGTTTGCAGGGTTTTATGGATTTTCTAGGGTTTAGAGGGTGCCTGTAGGGTTTATCGGCTGCATGGGGTTTAAGGTGGAGAACGGCGACCGTGCAAAGCGCTCGTCGTGTTGCTGGAACGAAGGCCCGAACTTACGATGGGTCCTGAGACCGTCACGGTGTAGACATGCACGGGGTCCTCGACCACCTGACATCTTGCTGTCACTGCCTCTTGCTTGTACTTGCACTGTGTATCTGCCACTCAGTGCCCATAACGCCAGCAGCACAGGCAGCGGGAAACGTGGCTTCCGCAGCCTCTAACGACTGGGCGGATGTATCGCCACGGCCACAAACATATCTCACCTCGCAGGGTCTCCCTTCTGCGCACTTCACAAACCTCCTCCCGTTACTACAGTATCATGGTTCTGCTTGCTATATGCTTACTATTCCACTTTCTCATAGTCGTCGTCGTTGTTGTCGTTGTTGCTGCTGCAGCTGTCCATAGAAGTATTCACATCATTCCTACTATGGTCGCAAGCCGCACCTCGGTGCTGCGGTTGTCGGTCCCGCCCAAGTAGAGCTCACCTCTCTGGCAGGAGATGCAGGAGGACGCAGATTGAAAAAATGACAGGCGCTGCGTTCCGATTCCCTAGCGCGCAGTCTGCAACGACTCAATGTGGGAGCGCAACATGATGCAGCATGAATACCCTTGAGGCTTGGGGACTGCAAATTCCATTTGTAAGGGAAGGAATGCCTGGGTTGTTTATTGTGGCGTGGCGTCTACAAACGCAGACCGAATTAAGAGCCCCTAAACCCAAAACCCAAAACCCAAAACCCTAAAAACCCAAAACCCAAAACCCTAAACCCTAGACCCTAAACCCTAAACTTTTGCAAGCCAGTTGCGAACTTCGCCCGTTGGCAGGAGTCGGTCTGACTTGGGGTGATGCTCTCCCAGTGAGAAGCGCATGCCAGCCTCCACCGTGCCCAAAGCAGGGGGGGCCCTCTAAACCCTATGGTTCCCTTATACTGAAATGTAGTCACTCTGACTCTTATATGAATATACTGGTACATTGATATATTCTGATGTTCCTAAATTTGTGTGGTATGCAATATATTCTTGTGTACATACATATATGTATGTATGTATGTATGCATGTATGAAAAGAAGTATAAATACACATAATATATATATATATATATATACATGTATATATATATATATATACATGTATATATATATATATGTATATACAATATGTTCTGCCGCCAAGAAGCGTCGTCCCGATATTGAACCTTTGACCGACGTGCGCAGTACGACTCCCCAATTCACTTCAAGGAATTCGCTCCCAGCGCAGCGCTGCAGCAGTACATGATATAATGGTATGCGAACGGAACAGAAGAATATTGGATATTGGAATATTTCACAATATACGCATTTAATCATTCGAGGATACAAAGATACTATGAAGATGTAGCCCAGGCGCGACTTTGCTGCCGGAGCAGAGGTCGTAGGACCAAAAGTCTTTGACAACCGTCAGGCAGCTTCCTGGACTGGAAGTGCATTGCCCAGATTCTTCTTGCGATGCCATCTGTGGGTCTTTGGGCACCGAAACGGCACCTAAATAACTGAAAGCCATGGTGCAGCAGGTTTGCGTAGCTAAAGCTTCGCTATTGCACTATGATACCAATTCTATCATGATACGATTGTGTGCTGATATGCTTGTAGAGTACTACTGTACTAGTGCATGATTAGAACTCTTATACGATTACACAACCTGAATAATATTTCATTTTTATTCTTGTAAGCATATTTTGGTGTATTGTAGTTCTATCTCACTGACTCATTCTCTACATTATCGTCCCTTTTTGGGTACCCTAAGTAAGAGGGGCCGCCTGAGTACAAGGACCCCCAAAGGGACCATAATGCAGAGAACTGACCATATTATTGCATGTAAACAACTGCCGAGTGACCGCGCCAGGGAGCGAGCTTGGCCTCAAACAGTGGCCCTAAAACCCTAAAACCCTAAAACCCTAAAACCCTAAAACCCTAAAACCCTAAAACCCTAAAACCCTAAAACCCTAAAACCCTAAAACCCTAAAACCCTAAAACCCTAAAACCCTAAACCCTAAACCCTAAACCCCTGAACCCCTCAAGCAGAGGCGAAGCTGGGCTCTGCGATCACGATTCTTGCGTGAGCCCCGGGACCGCTTGCAACGCCGACTATAGGAGCCTTAATAGTTAGAATCGGGTGTTGGGGGTTAGGGTTTAGGGTTTAGGGCCTACTATGGCATACTTAGAGAGGGACCAGAAGGGAATACTTTTGTAATCCGCCGACCCACCCCCACGCCCGCTCGCCCAAGCCCCCGCCCCACCCCCACCAACTCTATTCTCCGGTTTGGGTTGCCTCGTTACGGAAGCTGAGGCCGAGGCAGGGCGCGTAGCATTAACATTTGTCCGACCCCAAGATTATTTGGAGACCTTCAGGCTCAGGGCTTCGTCTTGAACTTTTTTGGGGTACTTGCAATGTGACTGTAGTTGTAGAGGGTGCAGGTTCAGGGTACTTCTTAAAACCCGAGATTGGCTGTCGAGGCACTGCCAGGAAGTGTGCCTTTGCATCGGGCGCACCAGACAGCTGCGTGTGGTTTTTGCCACCTGAGACTCGTCTGGTGCGGAGGAGCCCTCGCAGTAAACCCTAACCCCTAAGTTCTGCCCGGGCTTTCAACGAGCGCAGCCATAATGCAGCCTGGTAGCCGGGCAGTCGGCACCTAAACTTACGCTGCCCGTTCGCCAGGTTCATGACCTTCACGTCCTCATTGGCTTAAGGGTCAATTGAGTATGGCAGGGGGGAGGGGGGGCAGTCTGGGTAAGCCGTCTGGCTATTACGGCTACGATTCTTACTATTACTACGACTCTTTTTCGTTTTTTGGCCATTCCTTCAAGAGCTCCGCTGCTCCTCGTCATCAAGGTTGTCCAGCCCTGCCGCCTCGGTGGCAGAGGTGTCGAAGTCCAGATTCACCACCTGGCTTTTATTCTTTTACTACCACCACCGCTACGGGGCTAGGCTGTACTCGTCTATACTACCCTACACGTTGCAAAACTACACTGCAAACTACCGATGACAAACAACCATACAGATTTTGCAAATACTTCTAATACCACTTCTACTACTATTACTAATAAATTTATTCTTGCTCCTCCTACTACTACTACTACTACTACTACTACTACGACGACGACGACTACGACTACGACTACGACTACTACTACTACTACTACTACTACTACTACTACGACTACTACTAGTACTAGATTGAAGATGACGACGACGACTACGACTACCCCTACTACCCCTACTACCCCTCCTCCCCGCACTACCCCCACCACGACGACGACTACGGCTACTGCTACTGCTGTTGCTATTGGCGGCCGGCATCATGTCAAGGAACATAGTTGGCATGCAACGATGCCACGAAGTTGCCACTCACCTGGGCGGGAATGCGAAAACCCTGCAGGGACTCCACTCGGCCACTCTGCCGCCGTTATAGGGCCTTGTGGAGCCGCAGCGCGCACAGCGCTGCCAAGAGTGGCAGCATGCTCAGGCATTCGCTAGGCACACTGCTAGCACTACCTCATCAGCTGCACGGTTGCTGCATTTTCGTAGTATGTTGCCGCGCCAGGCGAACGTCCTGTGTGTGTCGATGATCTGCAGTTAATGGGGTTCATCGTATGTTTGGGGGGGGGGGGGGTTATGTTATTAGGGGTCCCCTTGTTTTGGGAATAGATGGCAAGCTGGAGCCGGACGGATTGCGATGCAGAGTGCGCCCCTATGCGTGTTTGCGCAGGTGCATCGACTCCATCGCTGCCTGTGTGTGGTAAACATGCACGCAGCTCCGTACTGCAAGGCTGACTGCTATTGAAGCCACCTAAGCACGAAGCACCCTTGTTATTTGGTCTCAAAGGGTGTAAGTATGAGGGTCTCCCAATTAAGGGCCCATAATAAGGGACAGTTAAGGGACCATATGTATAGGGGTTTACGAGAATAGGGGACCCCTAAAATAAACCCCCAAATAGCAGGATCTCCTTCTAGTAAGGACCCCAATAAGGTACCCCCAACTTCGGAAATCCCCCTTAAACCCTAAACCCTAAACCCCAAACCCCAAACCCTAAACCCTAAACCCTAAATGTTGGTAAAGAAGGCCAACCCGGATCTTGGCACATGGCCGTGTGACGCTTGCTGGGCGGGACCTGAGACCAGAACTAGGTGAGTCGCAGAACGCTGCGAGGGGCCTTTCCAGAAGGCCGAAGATTTATTAACAAACAAGTTAAGGCTTTCATTCATGAGAAGGACTCCTACGTAGTTTTAAGGGAATCTTCCTCAAATTGAGGGGTATTTGTGACAGCCTTCCCTGAGCTGTTTCAGCAACTGAGAGTCTTCTTGAAGTGCTGCGGGGCGAGCACATCAAGCACACCCCGATCGCTTCTGTTTCAGCCCACGTCTTCATTCGTGCTTCGTTGTGACAAGGAAGCCTCGAAGACGATCGTATAGCAGTGAAGAGCATGACTGAGCCTCTGATCTACCGGCGTGTGGAGTTGTTAGATTTATTGCCGGAGCTTTACCAAACCTGTGAATCCAACTTGGAGGACCACCTCTGACACTGCAACTGCTTTGGGGATCACAATCAGTTCCTGTATAGTAATGATATTCTGAGTATTCTTCGTAATTACTCCTATTGTTCCTCGTCATCATGTTTTGATGTACTATTCGCGCAATCATTGAAATCGTTGCTCTTCTTGCTTTTGTTTTACTTGCTGATCTTACGCTTGTTCCAGTGTTACTGCTGCTGGTACAGTACTATTGCTACGTCTTTCTGTTGTTCTGATTATCCAAGGGGCTTCCAGCAACATCTGGTGGAATCTCTCGCGCTTCTTCAGCAGCTGCTCAAAGAGGTCGGCTATGGATTTGACCTTCTTGCTTAAAAATATTTCAGGGGGGTCGATGCAGGGTCACTATTCCCACAGCGTGTACAGGGCCCCATGTCGAGTTTTGGGGAGAAACTGTGTAGGGTTCTTACTTTAGTGTGTAAATGCGTCTCTATATGTCCCTACATAGGGTTTGAAAGGTAACCCTTAGCCCTACCTGGGACCCTATTTGCCTACAATTTTAGGCGGAACACCTACTAAATAGGGGGTACTTGCTACAAAAACCGTAGGTAAAAAATAGGAGCTTCAGGTAAACACCAGCCCTCAACCCTAAGCCCTAAGCCCTAAACCCTAAGCTCCTCAAAAGCAAAGGCCAAGGCCAAGTTCGACTCCTTGGTGACTTTGAGGCAGCTGGCTGGAACCGCCTTGCAGGTCCAGAGGCATGCAGAAGGGGGTTTAGGGTTTAGGGTTTAGGGTTTAGGGTTTAGGGTTTAGGGTTTAGGGTTTAGGGTTTAGGGTTTAGGGTTTAGCCACTACTGTGGAGTACTCGTTTATTGCCATGTGTCACTTTTCATGATTGTTTGCTATTTCTTCGTGTTAGACTACTACTTGTTACTGCTTGTTTCTCGTTATTGTCACTATTGATTCTTCTTCTTGCTGTTGTAGCTTCGACTTATGATCAAAGAGTCTTACTGCTACAATTGTGCTCAGTGGACTTAGCATTATTTTGTTGGTACTATTGCTTCGTGGCTTTTAATACTTGAGTTCACTGTTACTGTGACTTGGTGTTGTTCCTTTTACGTTTCTTGTTGTAGCATGCACTGTCATGTTTGGTGGTAGTGGCAGGGCGTCCAGCACGCTTAGGCATGGCGATGTCCTGTGTAGGTTGTCGGCAACGTTGCGTGTTATCCCTCCCAAATATTGAATCAAGCGCTCAGCCACAGAGACCTTTTCCTTCTTTGAGTCTAAACAGGTCTACTCCCTAAACCCTAAACCCTAAACCCCTGTTCAGGGGAGTGGACTAGTTGATTGCCCGGCCTCGGCTCGGTCCGACAAGGCGTTGCTGCCAGCCAGGCTCTGAATCATGCTGCTGAAGGGCTGCGAGCACTGCTCCGGCAAGAGCTCGGTGTTCAGCATATTCCTTACGGGTTAGCAGAGAATGAGGGACTTAGAGCCCTATATGGTTGTGCGCTGTGCGTTCTGCGCCCCCCCCCCCCCCCCCCCTTGGTCTACAAGAGGTCTGGGTTGGGGTAACCTCAAACCCCAAAACCAACCCACAACCACCCCACAGGGGGGGGGAGGGGGTTGTCTCAACTCAATCCCAAAGCACCCTAAACCCTAAAACCTAAACCCTAAACTTTAAATCGTCAACCCACGTGCCCTAAACCCTAAACACCTAAACCCTCAACCCTGAACCCTAAACCCTACAACCCTAAAACCCTAAAACCTTACACCTAAAAGCAACCACCCCACAGGGGGGGGTATTCATGATTCACCGTCTCTCAACTCAATCCCAAAGCACCCTAAACCCTAAACCCTAAACCCTAAGCCCTAAGCCCTAAGCCGTCAACCCTAAACCCCAAACCCTAAACCGTAAAACCCTAAAGCCAACCCACAAGCACACCACAGGGGGGGGGGGGGGAATCTTCCCTTGAAAAGCTCTGTTGTAGACCATCCTTTTGGGGGGGGGGCGGGAGGGGCGGGGGGTACGGGCCGGGGGAGGGGAGGGGGGGTAGGGGCGGGGGGGAGGGGAGAGGGGGGGTAGGGGCGGGGGGGGGACAACCACAGAAACTCTTGATGGGCTTGTACAGGATGGCTCATTCCCCCATTCCCTACTAACCAGCAGTAAGATTCCTGCGAAAGGGCGAGCCCGATTGAGTGTGCCCTTTTAAGCTTCTTAGACAAAAGTCCCCCTTGCATTGCCACGCAATTTCACGGCTGAGTTGGGGATGCAGCTGAGGAGCATCATGCAGCTTGCGTTCAAGGTGAAAGGATGCACGACGGCCTGCATCACGCTGTGTCAGGGCAGCTACTGGAGCGCCAGAGGCAATGCAAGCAGCAAGATTGTAGGAGATTCGGACATTAGGGTTTAGGGCTTCAATGAGGGTTTAGGGGTATGAGGTAGCATGGATATCAGATGCAGGCACAGCAATCCATCTCCAGTTTCGTTCGGCGTGGCCTTGCCTGCGGCTGAAAGGAGTCGGTGCTGGGCTTGAAAAGCTGCGCGTCCAGCTGGGAAGCTAACGCCTCCCAGTCAGCTGCTCCGACAAGTTTAGGGTTTTAAGGGATTTGGGGTCTTTTGTAGGGGTTTTAGGATGTTTAAGGATTCATGTGGGGGGTATCTGAATCTAAATCACGGGCACTTTTATCGTTTCTCTGCTGTAGCACATGCCTGTTAGTCAAGGGTGGAGGAGAGCAAAAAAGTGCTTAGGGTTTTGGGCTTAGATCCCCGACTGGCAGCATGAGCTTGGCTCAGGCCCTCAAGTACGGACACCCCCTTGACTCCTTGAGAAGCTCACAGAGGGTCATCGTAACAACTGAAGTAACAGGCCGAACAGACAGCAGCGAGTTCATGAGACGCATCAGAACAAAGATTCCCACATACCATCCAAACACATAGCAAGATAGCGCCAAGCCTGAACCCGAAACCCTGAAAGGCGCACTTTCAGGAAGCGAAGCGAGGATGCGGACGTCGGATCGAGCCTGCCATCCAACAAAAACAAGGAAGCTGCAAGTAGGTTTAGGGGTTCAGGTTTCAGGGGTTTAGGATTTATGGGTTTAGGGTTTAGGGTTTAGGGGCTGAGGGGTTGAGGAGGTTGGGGATTTAGGGTTTCAGGGGTTTAGGGGCTTCGGGTTCAGGGCTTCGGGGTTTAGGTTTTCAGGGTAATTCGCCTCGGCTTCCTGCTGAGAAGCGTCTGGAACAAGCAGACCCGGATCGGGCCTCCTTCCCCCTATGACGCCACCCCCCCCCCCCCCCCACCCCCCCCCCCCACCCCCGCCCCCCCCCCCCCCCCCCCCTCACCCCCCCCCGCCCCCCCCCCCCACCCGCTCTGCCCTTCCTCCCTTTTATTGCGAAACCCTCTTTCCTGTCCTGGGGCCGGCCCGGCTGCCGAGGCGGCGCGCGCAAGCGTTTACAATTAGAGGGGTTTAGGGAGTTTAGGGGCCTATACCCCGGAGAAGTGGGAAGGTCGGTCCTCTGGTTGACGGCCGCTGCAAGCCCCAGGATGTGTGGTGGAACCTGCCACCCCCCCCCCCCGTCAGTGTCAATCCCTGGGTTTAGGGTTAGATAAGATTTGTAACCTACCTACCCAACCCCTGCCTACAATCGTGAAAGCATTCAATTTTATGTATTCTTGAGTCCACTACTAGTCATGTCAATGGTAGAGGTAGAAGTCTTCTTCTCAGCGCATGGTTGTGCTTCAGTCTTAGAGGCAAGGGCCCGGACCCAAAATCCACTGAATTACCACGCAATAGTGGAGCCAAATACCCAATTGAGAGGCAAAGTCAAAATAGCCTTTTATTGGAGCACGGCAACACTGGTTGCGTTCAGCCCTGGAGGGCTCTGGATGTGAACTCGGAGCTCTGACCCTGACACCCCCCTGAACCCTGAACCTGAAAGCAGGCCTTTAGAGTGTTTGAGGTTCTGCGGTTTGTTGGGCGTTGAGGGCAATAGCCAACAACACGCATTGACCCGAGGGGGCAGGGCCCCCGAAAGCTAGGATCACGCTAGTCTGCCAGCACTCACTTCACACTCACCCTGGCAGACGTCAGCAGGGAACAGCACAGGCCGCCATGATTGACTTCGTTCTGCTGGGAGCACATGCGATTGGGCATGCTCCACAAGCGCGCAAACACAAACAGACTTTTAGAGACAGCCGTGGAAACCTCGAACGCGTTGCCAGCCACGGACACGACGGCACCTACCCTAAGGAGAGCACGATTTGAAGCTCAAACGCAAGCATGATTCGAGCTACGTCAGATCCACAGAACTCACGGGGGTGCGCCGCCAGAACTCAGCCAGGAAAGTGTTGGTAAACTTCAGACCCTGATGGTGGGGAGAGCATGTTGTGCATCCATGCCGCCACAGCCTGTGAACCCCTAAACCCTAAACCCTAAACCCTAAAACCCTAAACCCCAAACCCCCCAACTCCTTGGCATGATCCAGAACTCAAAGCTTGGAAAGCGGTGCTCAGCTCAAACAGCTAAGCTTAAACTCTACACCCTAAACCCTAAACCCTAAAACCCTAAACTGCGTTAGAAACAAGGCGCTTAAGGTGTCTGATCTCGTGGAGCTTAACGCGGCTGAGGGAGGCTGAGGGCATTCCGATGTATGGTTTAGGGTTCAGGGTTCAGGGTTCAGGGTTCAGGGTTCAGGGTTCAGGGTTCAGGGTTTAGGGTTTAGGGTTTAGGGTTTAGGGTTTAGGGTTTAGGGTTTAGGGTTTAGGGTTTAGGGCTTAGGCTTTAGGGTTCAGGGTTCAGCGTTCAGGGTTTAGGGGGCTTCCAGAGGGGTCTTTCTAGGGATCCTTCGGGTTTTGTGGGGGCCTAAGGGTTCCTTAGGGTGGCATGGTGTCTTTATGGGGCCTTTTGTGTTTAGGTTTTCGGGTTCAGGGTTAGGGTTTAGGGTTTAGGGGTTTAGGGGTTTTAGGGGTTTAGGGGTTTAGGGTTTTAGGGTTTAGGGGCTTTAGGGGCCTCCGAGCCCTCATTCGTCACGCCCGAGTCTGGGAAGATCCGGTCGGCTTTGGACTGGAGGTTGTCATCTGGCAAGGAGTCACGTAGAGGAAGACAGAACTGTGTGTAAAAATGTATACATATGTATATATATATACACATATTATGTATTTAGGTATGTATGTATGTATGCATGTATGTATGTCTGTATGTATGTACTGTATGTAATGTAATGTAATGTAATGTAATGTCATGTAATGTCATGTAATGTCATGTAATGTCATGTAATGTCATGTAATGTCATGTATGTATATGTGTGTGTGTCTGTCTGTATGTATGTATGTATGTATGTATGTATGTATGTATGTATATGTACATATATATATATATATAGATATATATCGTGGTGTCTCTAAATTATGGCTTTTGGGGTCCTTATCCCGGCCCCTCTTACTTAGGGTACCTAAAAGGGACAATCATTTAGAGAAGTCACCATATCATATAGGACATATTAACAGCATAGAGTACAGCAGAATAAGATCTCATGTATATGTATATATATATATATAATCATAGTAATAATAGTAATAATAATCATAATAATAATGATAAACATAATGTTAATATACTAGTATATCACAGAGTAATATCTAATAACATGCAATATTCGCATAGACAGATCGCAGATATATATATATGTATATATATACATATATATATATATGTATATATATATATATATATATTATGTCATGTATATATATATATATATGTATGTATATATGTTTTGCACGCATGAACATATACATGTAACTTACATAGACATAAACCAATGCGATGAGGCGGTGACAAAGCTGGACTCTCTCTTTCTCTCTCTACGACTGCCTGACAAGACCGGCACTCAAACATGGCGAGGCAGACCCGTCTGACTCGTCTCACCAAGAACGCAATAGGTAAGGTTGTTGTTCCTCAGGAAAGAAGCCTAAACCCTAAACCCCAAACCCGAAACCTAAACCCTAAGCCCTAAAGCCCTAAACCCTAAAACTTACCTCGTAGACTGGCGGGGGCCTCTGGCGCATCATGCTCTGCTGCCAGGGCTCAGCATTCGTTTGAAAGGGCCGTCCCTCTTGCAGGTACTGCACTCCTCGTGCAAGAGCTCAGGGTTGCATCTCTAGCCCCCTAAACCCTGACCATCCCTAAGCCCTAAACCTGCACAAAAACAGAGGGGGACCCGAGTTCAGGGAACTTTACCTAAACCCTAAGCCCTAAACCCCTAACCCCTAACCCCTAACCCCTAACCCCTAAACCCTAAACCCTAAACCCTAAACCCTAAACCCTAAGCCCTAAACATCCCTGAGCAGTAAACCCTGTCGTCTGATACAGCCCGGGTCCATCTGCCGTTCCAGGCCTCGGGGTCCATAGCAGGGAGTGGCCAAAAGGATGACCTGAGAAAGGAGCAGCTCATCCAATGCGGTTTCAGGTTTAGGGTTCAAGGGTTTAAGTTTCAGGGCTTAGGATTTAGGACCTTTAGGATTTAAAATGTGCAATGCATTTCTATACTCTCTTGAAAGACATGATATTGCAGTATAGTCTAGTCGTGCAACCTTGGGGTTTGTCGAAGTAGAGCCTCATTGGTACCTAATGCATGGAGCTGTCGGGAGTAGAAGGCAAGCACTACCGCACTATGTCGGCTTGGCCCGCATTACAATAAGGGCACCCTAGTTGAGGTTGGTTTCTTTATAAGGGAACCTTGAAGCCCCCAAAAAAGGGAAAAGGGCACCACTGGGCTACCAAATCGGGAAGCACCCGCAATCCCCTTGCGCAGATGCAGATTCTTTTGCTTTGCATCCAGAAGGTGGAAGCGCCATGGGCATCTCTCCACGTGCAAAAGCATTCTGTCCCCCGCCCCCCACTCCCTTCCTGCAACCCATGCCCTGCCGCCCCATCGCCTCGTATTGCTTCTCCTTGTAGAAACCCGAGATCCTAAACCCTGAATGGAACCTGTCGTGCCGACCTTGCCTCACAGCTGCAGCGGCGACAGGGGCAATACACATTAAAAGCTATGAATCATGATTGCAACCGTAGGGCTTCTTAATGACTTGGATCAGCCCCCATCATCCCGAAACCCTAAACCCTAAACCCTAAACCCTAATGCCCATGTGGGCTCTGTGATGCTGTCTGTGCAGCCCAGGAACAAACAGCGAGCCACAACTCGGCAGGTCTCGATGTCTTCCTTGTCGTCCATATCCATGTCCTCACGATGGAAGGCAGCTGGCAAACCCTGCAGCAAGTGTAAATCTTCGGGGGGCAGTCCGCAAAGGGCTCGTGCCCCGCGATTTCGTATCTGCCGAGGTCTCTGCCCGCACGTTTGAGTTGCTTGAGCACGCCCCTCTGCAACTCATGGTCTCCCAAGCTGCCAGGGACTAAACTATGTTATACACATGCGAAAGAGTACTGCGTTATTGGATTATGTACCAGGATAGGCTATTATACCCAAGAACCCTTGAGAAGGCCCTTTCATAGGGTTGACTAAGGGGATTATAACTCCGAATAGCCCATCCTGGTACAGGGTAGGGCTTATAGGGTTTACAGGTTTTCATAGGGCTTTATAGGGTGTTATAGGGCTTTATAGGGCTTTATAGTAGGGTTTACTGGGTTGTATAGGGTTTATAGCATATCGGGTTTTATAGAAGCTGCAACTTCAGCTCCTGCTGCCCAGCACTCGGCACCATCTCTTCCTACAGGCAATGTCTCATCATCTGAAGGGATTTTTTTAAAGGGCTTTTAGGGGGGTTGGGGTTTTTAGGGCTTTGAAGGAGGTTTTAGGTTTTCGGGTTTCTTGAAGATGGCCATCCATGGTTCCCCCTGTTGCAGAAGCTGAACTGTCCTGCTGGAAGACTTCCAAGCTTGCCTGGCAGGCGAGAGGTCATGAGTCATGAAGCAGCAGCCGCTGCTTCGCGGGGGCCCCTTGTAGGGTGTAGGGTTTAGGGTTTAGGGAGTAGGGTTTAGGGTTTAGGGAGTAGGGTTTAGGGTTTAGGGTGTAGGATAGGGGTCGCTTGTCTTCTTCACCTTGTGATTCTACTCTGGCGCAGCAAAGCTCGCAAGGGGACTGCTGTGTCAGGGTTTCCCGAAGGGAACATTGTTGCTCAGTTGCTGCTAGCACCACTAATCGTTTCTAAAATTACTAGCATAAACTCTTATTGCGAGCATGTTCATGCTTAGTACGCATATGATAACAACTCTAACGCTTACTGGGGTACCTTACGATACAGTATGGCTGTCAACATTGCTGCGATGGTTCTTCTTCCTACTAGAACTACCAATACTGCGTGGTGTGAGGCCACATCTCCCCAATGACACACGGTTGCGAGCGAAGGCAAAGTCACATCACGAAGACAACTTGTTGATGACATTCTCCGGCACGTGCCGAACACGCATGTTCTCGACACACATGCAAAGTACGCATTTGTCACCGAACGCCTGAGAGGGGAGCGCTTATTTGTCAGCACACAGAGTTTGATGCCAGTCCCCAAGTGCACGCGCCACATACTCATGGTCCCGACTCACAAGCAAAGTGCGCATTCGGCGCCTTTGAGCGTTGAACTAGGATTCCTACCCTAGGATGGCCCTTCAAACATTGTCCCCTAGCAGGGGCCCGTGGATGGGACCCCCATATAGACCCCTATACACTGTAAAACCCAAGGGCCCATACTGCAGAACCCTTCAAGGAAGGTAGGGGGACCATATTCAGGGACCATGCAACTACCCTTAGACTCCTCCCCCCCTAGTATGATGGTTTAATAGTTGTTGGGTACTATGATCATCATTGCTACTATTCCTACTGAGTATTCTTCGTATTCCTGATGGCGATTCGGAGGGGCATGTACGCTTCCGTGTTCAGCGCCCGCCTTCCACGTGCTTGGAGCAACTGTCTCCGCAACCTACACGGTGCAGAACACGGCGTATTGGGCGCTTGCGAAACCGAGAAGAAACTCTACGCTCACAGGTCCAAAGAAAAAGGGGGAGAGAGAGAAAGAGAGAGGGAGAGACAGAGAGAGAGAGAGAGACAGAGAAGGGGAAGGAGGAAAGAGAGGAAGGGACGGAGGGACGGAGGGACGGAGGGACGGAGGGACGGAGGGAGGAGGGAGAGAGAGGGGGAGAGAGAGGCGGGGAGAGAGAGGCGGGGAGAGAAGGAGACAGAGAGGGAGATTGTCAGAACTCGGCGTGACTGCTCGGACCCCTCTTCTCTTCCTCTTGGTTAGTAGGGAATGAAAGCATGGCAGCAATGGCAGCTACAATAGTAGTTCATTCTTTCAGTCCCTTCTAACCAACAGTAAGTTCTGTTGGGACGCGGGGGGCCTTCTTCTGCCAAGCGTGGCACCGCTCACGCCAAGTACGGATCCTCGGGTTCAGGTTCGCACGGTGCTCTCCCAGAGACTCCAAACCCCCTTAATTAAAGGAATATCCCTTAAATCATAATAGGAGCCCTAAATATGATTTAAGGTCGATTCCTTAATTAAGGGGTTTGGGAGTCTCTGGGCTCTTACCCGTGACGTGTGAAAGCCGCCTAAGGGGAGGGGGTAGCAGACAACCACCAGACAAGCACGTCTGAGCTCTTTGTTTGTCAGCCCCTTGTTGCAGCCAAGGCTTCGTAGGGCCTTCTGCCCGCAAGGCGCTGCTGAGCAGAACATGTGGCATGGACAGCAGGGAGTCCTGGTCTCTTCAGGATTTTGCATCTGACTTATTTTCCATCGACAGCCCACGACGTGTCTGCCAAGCGCGGCTATCACTGCATTCAAGTCCTCTGAAGCCGAGATCCGATTCAGGCTCCTTGCACGGCTTCAGCAGCTTCAACGGCTGAGCACTGCGACCAAGCAGATTGAACCCGAGGCCCAGGCAACCGATTGTTCCCGAAGAGGCGGGCCTTAGTTGCTCAAAAGGTTGCTCGGTTGCACTCCGTGAATCAGATGCCAGCTGCAAGCTCCTTTTTGAAAACCAACCAGGAGCCACTGACCACATGGCTCCCCAGGACCTCTGTACATAATCTTGCCACCTGCGGGCCGCTGGGGAAACGCTACTTTGGAGAGCTGTCAGGCGACGCCCAGTCCCACAAGAAGGCGCCCTGAGTTGGCCAGTGCAGGAGCAGCGGTAAGGTATCAGCAAGTAGTAGCAACAGCAATCGTAAGAATAACAGTAGCTAGGTGTGCCTAGTAAGTAAGTTTTAAAAAAATGTACACACACACATATATATATATATGTATATATTTCTATACATATACATATATATATGTATACATCTATATTTTTACATATATATATATACTACTTAAACAAACCGACACTAGCTACAATGACTCCACCGACCCCACCTGGGCGAAGTTCATCCTGTCCGAGTCCGATAATCCTTCAGCTTCTCGTGCAATTTCCTCCGTCGTTCCACCGCTTTGCTTCCACGGGAAACATGCAAAAAACGCGCGCAGTTAGCGCAATGTGATGCGAAGGCAGGAGACTCACTCGCAGCCTTCCATCTGTGACCGAACAGAATACCCAGCAACTCGCTACGAGATGCCAAGCTGCAAGTACTCCTCCTCCGAAATCTGCCCAGCACCTTAGCAATTTCGCCCCACAACGAATCGTTGACTAAACGATGGCAGCTTGAATGGAGCAGCCGCACAGCAAGTCCGGTCAAGGCGTCTGAGCAAGCAGCTGTCGAGCTCGATCGTCGCCAGGAGCCTGCCGTGCTGAGATGGCTTCACAAGTTCACACTGTGAGCATCTGGCTGTGCCCAGCTGCTCACAACATGTGGCATGAATTGCTGGCAGACTGCCCTTTGTCCAGCACAACATCATCCCTAAACCCTAAACCCTAAACCCTAAACCCTAAACCCTAAACCCTAAACCCTAAACCCTAGGAATCACGTGGCATTCAATGGCGCCCACCTTCTGAGCAGTGACCTCCGGATGTTGGGGTCCCTTGCTCGAGGAAAGCCCTGCAAGGCCGTGACCAAAGTCCACTGCCATATGGGGCATTTCCAAACATAGGGGAGTACCCTCAATATAATATTGATAATATACCCCAAAATAGCATCATCCTTATTCTAGGAACCCCCAAAAGGGTACCCCCTATTTTCGGGGCGCCATCTCTCTCTCTCTCTCTCTCTCTCTCGCTCTCTCTCGCTCTCTCTCGCTCTGTCTCGCTCTCTCTCTCTCTCTCTCTCTCTCTCTCTCTCTGCACTTCGATGCATGCCTCGAGGATGCCTTTCAGCAGCTCATCCCGGGAGATCGACTTGCTCTGGCGGGATGGTCAAGATCGAAGTTCTCAGGTGATTGATGTTCTTATAAATATTGTATTCATAGAATTAATAGTACTAGTGGTATTACTACTATTCAATATTCAGAATATTGATAAATTTAATAAGTACGATCCTTGAACCCACTGCCCAAGTTCAGGGCCTATACGATACCTGCCCCCGCCCGCTTTTGACAGGCAAACAAGTTGACAGCCTCTTGGTCGTGCTGCAGTCATGCTGATTCTGAAGCTGTGGCGGACCCAAAGATTGCCAGAGAGGAAGCTGGTTTAGGGTTTAGGGTTTAGGGAACTGCTTTCCCTCCCTCCCTCGACAGTAGTCGTGGTGAGAGGGCAGCTCGCAAACCAAGAGCTGCGTGGCTGCACCGATCTAAGACCCGTGATTCACAGCAGGTCGACATTACTCGGAATCAGCAAGGGGAATGACAATTGAGAAGTGACAGGCTTCCGCTTGCATGATGGGAGGGTGACAACTGGACAGGTCTATTCACTTGCTGCATGTGGTGCTCTCGCAGAACGAGGATCTCCCACCCATACAGTCACTAAGTCTGTTGAAAAGTCTGAGCCTTATCCACGTCCAGCTTCTGAAAACTTGGCATTCTCCTGTACCATGCATGGTGGTCGGCGACGAATGTTTTCAACGGAATTACAATCAACATGCTCAGGAACGAAGGGAATTGCCCAGCTACTCTCGTCAGTGGTGCCAAGCCGCAGCCACAACAGTCGTGTGAAGTGCCGCGTGAGGTGCTCCTGGGAGGAAGTCTCTTGGGGCCGAGGGCTGACAGGCTGGGTTTAGGGTTTAGGGTTTAGGGTTTAGGGTTTAGGGTTTAGGGTTTAGGGTTTAGGGTTTAGGGTTTAGGGTTTAGGGTTTAGGGTTTAGGGTTTAGGGTTTAGGGTCGTGGCAAACGTTGCAGGCAGGTCGCAGCTGCAGGCTGGCAGGACTGAAGCGGCGGGACTTCATTGCCTGCGGCTTTGACAACACGGGTGCGTGGGACTGGTCTCTGCCTCCTCTATTTAGGGTTTAGGGTTTATAGGGTTTATAGGGTTTATAGGGTTTATAGGGTTTATAGGGTTTATAGGGTTTATAGGGTTTATAGGGTTTATAGGGTTTATAGGGTTTATAGGGTTTATAGGGTTTATAGGGTTTATAGGGTTTATAGGGTTTATAGGGTTTATAGGGTTTATAGGGTTTATAGGGTTTATAGGGTTTATAGGGTTTATAGGGTTTATAGGGTTCAGGGGTGCCTTGTGTCATCGCCCAAGTTTCGAAGACTGAGTTGTTGTTCATCCCACGAAGAGCCGCATGGAGTAAGGCCTCGAAGGAGAACAGGTGTCGTCAAGGCGGGGGGGGGGGGGGGGGGGGGTGATCCGAATTCGGTACTCTAAGCTTAAGCTGTAAGAGCTCTGTATTTACATAATGACATACATATATACATATATATACAGGTACATATATACATAATAGATATATATGTATATATTAATTTAATTATTCATTTACTTGTTTACTTATCTATATTTACGTCACATGCTAAACTACTCTAGAGACTCGCGACAAGCCCCCAAACACGGCTGAACTACCGGCAAAGCAAGCGTTGTCAGACGGGCTTCTCATGCCTCAGCACAGGTCGACATGCAGGCAAGACTTTGTCTAAGGCGCGGGCAACTTTGTACCTGTCATGTCACAGTAGGAACTTCGGGCTTCCGGGGGGGGAAGGGGAGGCTTCATCTTCAGCTTTGGCTGAGAGATTTCAGCAACAAGAATGCTCATGAGGATTGAAGCCCTCTCTGCCTCTTACTCGCGACGATGGGTTCTCCGGCGATGTGGGTGACTGCCTTGTCCGTCACCTACGGCAGATCTCACATATTTACCCTCAACTGCATCAGCACACAAACGTCAAGAGGGTGGCGACCGCAGGCCTGCGTGCTGCTGTTGGTCTGCAGGAAGCCACCGGGCACAGGCATCTTGCAGGACCGCTTAGACTCCCGGAGAGCGTGTGGTCAACATGAGGCATTTTGGGCACAGCCGATGCCTCTGATGCAGCATCGCCCGGCGCCTGCGCGTGGGCAAAAAAAATCGCCAAAGTGCCACACATTCACTTAATAGGGATTATCGTACCCGATGATCATCCCTATTAAGGACTGTTAGGCAAAAGGGTGAACATCCTAATTGCTACATTATTCTTCCAGTACAGCTACCTGGAAGCCCCGGAGGGCTCCAGCAGTGTGCAAGGTTAGGGTTTAGGGTTTAGGGTTTAGGGTTTAGGGTTTAGGGTTTAGGGTTTAGGGTTTAGGGTTTAGGGTTTAGGGTTTAGGGTTTAGGGTTTAGGGTTTAGGGGCCTCACAGGCCTTCCGACTGAGTCTTGAATGCCCAATAGTGGGAGCCGCCGAACGGGCATGTCAGGTTCCAGGCTCCCTAAACCTAAACCCTAAACCCTAAACCCTAAACCCTAAACCCTAAACCCTAAACCCTAAACCCTGAACCCTAAACCCTAAACCCTAAACCCTAAACTCTACACCCTACACCCTACACCCTAAACCCTAAACCCTAAACCCTACCTTACAAACTAAACCTCCAAGTTTGACAAGCCACACATTTGCTCCCAGGCCGCCCAGGCTTCGCTTTCGTCGGCACTGCGACCCGCAGGAAGTCGCCCTCGGCAACCATCTAGGGGCCCTTGATAACTCGAAGGTTTAGGGTCTAGGGTCTAGGGTCTAGGGTCTAGGGTCTAGGGTCTAGGGTCTAGGGTTTAGGGTTTAGGGTTTAGGGTTTAGGGTTTAGCGTCTAATCGAGGGACCTTAATACTTGGAACTTTTATTTGTTTACTTTTGCTTTTTTTTTTTTTTTTTGGGGGGGGGGGGGGGTGGGGTTATATAGTGTAAGTATATAAGGAGCAAAAGGGAACACTGTCCGTAAGTATTCCGACCCCTATATTATATCTAGGGGCGGGGGAATTCGCACCTCTCCACCCCAACGTAATCTAAACACCACACTGGATGCCTGATGATCATTTACTTACTTCTCCAATAACCAGGGGGAAAAAAGGTTAAACTTTAGCATTCTACTAGTTACTAACTAAGGAAACCCGAACAGCTTCCAGTTCAACTAAAGGCGAAGAAAGTTTACAACCCTAAGCCCTAAACCCTAAACCCTAAACCCTGAACCCTAAACCCTAAACCCTAAACCCTAAATTGCCGAGGAGCAAAGCGGCCCGTGGCCTTAGGAGACTGGGTTCAGAGGCCCGGTGCAGGTCTGGAGCAATCCTATAGCCTTTTTGTGAACTGCTGGGGTTTTAGGGTTTAGGGTTTAGGGTTTGGGGTTTAGGGCTGTTTTCCTGGGACGTTGATGCACGCCGAGCAGCATGCTTCCTTGAGAACATGACCGCCTGGATACAGGCTCAGACTCTGCGAAATTCCCACAAAACATTTGGGATTGTTCCCCCTTATACGAACAGTCCTTTTTAGGGATTAGAGTACCCCTATTGTATTCCGTATTAAGGACTGTTAGTATAAGGGAGGAACATCCCAACAAAACACCATCAGAAACATCCAAGTGCCTTGTTAATGTCTTCGCCCAGCATGGAGACGATTGCCATCTCCGAGGGCCAAGGAAGCTCC